CTCTCTGCCGGCGCCCCAGAGAGGCGCCCGGTCCCTGTCTCGCCGGGCGGTTCCCTGGTCTGTGAGTGGACTCCGTTGCTTTCTTGGTTATTGGTGTTTTAAGCAAAATGGGCTGTTTTCGTACAGCTCCTTTCCTTGTGAGGTTGTTGCTCGGATCCCGTGGCGTGCGTTCATCTGCGTGCTCAGCACAGAGGTACAAAAGGACCGTGAGGCCAAAGTACTTTAACCCTAATATTTGTGAATGGGTTGTACAGGAGAAAGCTGTTCTTCGTGACCCTGATTATAAAGAAGTGTTTTATGGCAAAGATAACACACCGTATAATGTTGGCTGGATTTTGCCAAGGTGTAAGCAGTCCAAATTGTGCTTTCTTTTGTCTGTAATACCTCTTTGTGTCTTGTGTAGTACCTACTTGCCGTCAATGGCTGTTCTTCCAGAAGATTTATTGTAAGCTTTATTATACAGAAAAGCTTTTAAAATCAATAACAAATCTCAGTGAAGGTAGTAATCTTTTTGTTTGGCGGAGGCTTTTCTTTTAGAAGTGTGCTCCAGGTTTCTGGCTTCTTTTCAACTCACCTACGTAAGGGTCGCCTATATAATCGTCAAGTCCTGTATATCTTGAGCTGTTAGCAGCTCTAGTAATGGTTTGGAGATGACTGTTGGTGGAGCTGGGTGACCAGGGCAGTTTGGTAAAATAGCAGTTACACAAGTACTCTCTGGAGAAACAGAAGGAATGTTGTGTAAAATATTTGTGTTCATGTAAAAATGCAGTTAAAATATTCCTGGCTTGATACTCCTCCCTCTCCTCCCCCCTTTTTAACTGGGGATTTCTGTTTCGTTAGTAAATAGGAACCATAATGTTTTGTAATCTGAATTAAGCTATCAGTAACTATTTGAACAAAATTTAAATACTTGAAGTGACTGTATGCAACAGCTTCTGTCAGATTGTGTTACTTGGCTAGGTCTATACCCAAAGTTAAGATCTGAATGCCTGGAGGATCTTCTGCTAAGTCTATAGACTGTGTTTGGAAATCCTCCTCTCGACTGGCCACGGGAGAAGGCAGTGTTGAACTGCAGCCCAGGACCTGTCCTGACTGCCAGGGCATGCTGTAATCAGTAGTGCAGCTCTGTACTGTGATACATACTCGTTGCTCTGCAGACAAGTAATGTAATTTAATTTAAAAAAATATTCTGAATTCCATACTGCATTAGAACTAAAGTTATTGAAGGGAGTAGGTCCTTGAAATAAAATATGTGGTATGAAAGTCCAGACTCTTTAATTTACAGAGCAAAATGCTCCTCTGAATACTGGCTCACTTATTAAAGCAGAGGCCAAAGAGGCATTTCCATTAAAAGAGACAGGGATCTTAAATCATTTGTCTCACTGAATATTATCTTGTTGCATCATTATGCTGGTGTATCAATGCTACTTAAAAAGTTACAATAAAACAGTTGTTAAACGCATCACTCTCACAAACGCTGGGTATTTGGTTGTATTTGTCTCTGTTGCTATCCTGTGTCCTGGTTCAGTGTGTTGAAGTTGGGCTGGTGGGTAATCTGTGAGCATGACTTTCCTTTTAACTCATATCTTCCAAGCTCTAAGAAATGTTTGTATGTTTACAACATTTTGTTTCTAGAGGATGCAGCTCCTTGGTGATTACAACTTTGGTGGCGAGCTGTTTTCATGATCTCCTGGAATTATCAGCTGCCTGCTGCACACCAACAGCTGTGAAGCTTGGAGCTGTGCTCCTGGGTAACATCTTGACGCTATTGTTGCGGATGGAGAGAAACAGGACTTGGTAGTTCACTTGGAAGCAAATTATTCAGAAGAAAAACTTTCCTGGGATCTGGATCATTTTTACCATGGACTCCTCGTCCGTTCAGCAGGATGTTCATTTGGAGAACAGAAGCAGTAATGGGACCCCTAGCAGCTCTGAAGAACTTCTGGACTGTAAAGCCAAGTCAGATTTGCCAGTTACAGCAGAGGAAGTTAACAGTAAGTTACTTCATATGTACTGAATAATTTCCTAGTATATTACCAAGACTTCTCTACAATCATCTGTTTTGTTGTTCAGGTGATGCTGAAGGACTTTTTTCCTTGACATCAGGAATTTCTTGTACAGAACTTTTAAGCAAGTTTGGTGAAGGCTGTGGCTCTATGGGAAAAACTGTCTTTTGTTTTAAAGCTAAATCTTTCAAAACAAAACCATTAACTTAAGTACTGTTGACTGCCAGTTGAGTGTGTTGTTCAGGGTGTTACTCTGTTTTCTGAGCGTGTTTCCAAGAGCATATACTTGAAATTGTCTAGAACTAACAGCTCTGAAGTGGTTGTTACGGAGTAAGCTCAGGACTGGAGTACTTTGTTCTGGCAAAAGAAAATTTCCTAATAAATTAAATTGATTAGGCAAAACCCAAAGTTAAAAAGTCTCCCTAAACTTCCATTTATGGAAGAGAGGTACTTGCAGGTACCCCCAGATCATCTCAAAATAACTTTTATACATAGACTAGCTTTATAGTAAAATAATTATGCAGCTGTTTACAAGAAACTTCAGAGGACACTGATCTGAGTAAATTATAGAGTCAAACTTAGGCTGGAAGGGATCTCTCTGGGTTATCTAGTCCAACCTCAGGTACAGAGCAGACCTAGTTTTGAAGCTGGATCAGGTTGCTTGGGGCCTTGTCCTGTTAATTCTGAAAATCTCCAGAGAGGGATGTTCAACAGCCTTTCTACCCATTGCAGTACTTTACTGCTTTCATAATAAAAATCTTTTCCTTGTATTGAATTGAAACCTCCATGCCTCCACTACAGGTATATAAGGATATGATGGTAGATGGGTGGAGGGGGTATTTATGCTGCAGCTGCGTAGATACACAAAAGTACAGAGGTTCCTTATATAAAAGGAGGGGATCATGTGATTAAGTTGTTAGTCCTCCACCCTCCTCTTGTACCACAGATTTGCCATCTTTCCACAGGTAAGAAAGTGGAGGCCTAAGACTTTATTTGCATTTCTTACACTGCCCATTATCAGTCTGGCAGTGTGTAGTTTTATGATGATTCATTCATCTTTTATGAAGTTGGAGATAATGCATTCCTATTTTTCTCCTGTGTTGGATATCATCCAAACAATTGAATTGTGGCTTACATATAGGTCGTGTGTCTTTTTACTGTTTTCAATCTAATTGCATCTCCTCCCCCACTGTTCTAAAAAGACTGCAGCTGTATTGACACTACTGCAATTAAATTACTTTACTTCAAGGCAGCATTTAGATTCTGAGTGTCTCATGGCCTCAGGAAGTTGCCAGGAAACCATTTTTCCAGAATTTTGCTCCAGCATCACTTGTATATGTACACCACTCACAGTTACAATGATAAAAATGTAAATAAAGTACAAACCTGATGCAGTCATAGATGCAGCTTCTGAAAGATGGGCAGAAACAGTATTTCTGAATGTGTGAGGTATCTCCTTATTTTTGGCTTCTTGTGGCTGTTCTTAGCACTGATACCTATTTTTAAATTTGGTTTTGACAGTCTTTTGGTTTTAAAATGCCTTAAATTCTGACTTTGGTTAGTCATTAAGAAGGCAGTCCTGTCCTCTGTCCTCCTTCGTATCCTTGTTGCACTCATACCTTCCATTGTGCCTGCAGGTGTGTTTGTGACCACATGGTGAACTAAATCAGAGAACTGATTTGAGCTAAAATGGCCTGAAAATGTTCTCTGCATGACAGATAAGATACTCAAAAGAGCTTTAACTGAAATCTCAGATTGCTGACGAGATTTGGTAACGTGAGGCTGAGAACTTTTTATTTTTAGCCACATTCAGTTTCCTCGTTGTGTTTCCTCTGAGCTGGTACTCTATACAGACATCTGTGCTGGCTTAGGGGAGGATGCACTGCAGAGGTGGGAACAAATGGTTAGGGGTGGAAATGTATCTTTTCCTTTTCACATTACTCTGAAGTGAAATTCTGACTGCACTTAAAAGGAAACCTTTTGCTTTCTTCAGTAACAAAAGGGAAAACATTAAGAAGTCCTGCCTTCCTACTGGTACCTTTTTTTCCACACAGCTTATTTAATTCCACACTAAAGTGGTCTTCACATACATGGAGGATAATAGCTTTATTTTTTAATTATTCTGCTTTCAGAAGTTTGTAGTGATACATTATGTGGGGAGGGGAAAGTTTAGTAGCAATATGTTAATGGGCTGGTCTAAATCAGTAATTAAAATTTTACTGAATTGTAATTGACTTCCTGGCTACAAAATATTTCTGCATATGAATCTTAGAAACAGTTTTGGGAGGATCTGTTTCTCAGTTCTGGTTTGTTGGTTTTTTTCTGTCCCTTTCCCCCACCTTCTTTGAGCAGGCTTAAAAAAACCGTAACTGCTTGTTTAAGTCTGTAGGTCTGACAGGAGGAAAAAATGGAAAGAGGAAATTTGGGTTTTCCACTTGCAAGTACTTTGTGATCATAATGTTAAAAGTGGGTTTTTTTTTCATAAAGCTGATAAAACAGTAATGAAATCTTCCATATTATTCCAGTGAGTTCCAGTTACTCCAGTGATATATGGTGTGGGAATGAAAGGCAGTGGCTATATCAGTACCCCGCTCATTTGAGATCTATAATAATGCCTGTAAAGTTAGATACACAGTTTTGTTGCAGCAAAAAAACAACTCCTAAATGTGAGTAGTCCCCAGCTGAGTCAAGTAAAAGTGTGCAAGAACTCCAAAATGTCAAGCTCTGAACTGGTTTTGAAGATGCATTTTTCCTGATGGAAAGAAAAATCAAATATTAGTAAGTGGGGATAAAATTGGCATTAAAGTGGTTCTTGAATCACATTTTAATTGGTAGATTTATTTTCTACATGAGAGCTTTGCTACTGTGCTTTGGATGAAGATGTCCTGATTGAAAACATGTGAACTTTGTTTAAAATTGAGGAACTGCTTGGCCCAGGCTGGAAGTGGGATGGTGGATGCTTTCTCCCCACTGCCCAGCAGCATACCAAATAGCTGAATCATTCAGCACAGGCCCACAGTTGCTGAGTCTTATTTGTAGTAGGGTGCCACTCAGTGTATCACAGATCACATTACTTACACTTGGTGTTTCATGCTTCTAAACCTAATAAGATTTAAAAACCCATGTGAGGTTTTGAAGATACTTTATGGTCATTTTTGAGGTGCTGCTTGAAGGTAACATAGTAAAGCAGATGAATGGTACTCCTGGTCTTTTAAAATGAAGAATCAAAAGTTTTCTTATAAAGTTTCTCCTGCCAGTTGCTGTTAGCAACTTCCTTATTCTTACAGTCTGAAGGCAACAGTCTATTTGGGGGGAGGTGTGCAGATAAATGGGGTGGCTTAAAGTGTAGCTCAGTGAAACTTTCTTTTCCAGCTACCAGTGTTAACATCAATGAAGTGCCAAATGAAGAGGGAAGTCTGGAGATAAACTGCAAAGTGGATGCCTGCCAGAATGGGCCAGAGTCGCTCTTCCCTGACTCTCCTGTATCTTTTGACCCCACCAGCAGTGCACAGGGTCAAGAGTCATCCCCAGGTGTGACTGGTTTCCATGGCAGCCTAAGGAAGTCTCAGGGAACTAGTGCTGAGGGCATAGTTCTTAGAAAAGAAGCTTTGCAGTCTCTCAAACTAAGTCTTCCCATGCAAGAAACTGAATTGTGTAAGCATCTGTTTACGGTGGTGCCCCTGCTTTCTCCTGCTGCATAAAGCTTCTTACTCTGAGCCTGGCTCTAGGCTTCTGTAACATCATTTAAGCTTGGACTAAACTTCGTTTTTGCAGAAAGCTTTTTACGTTGAACTACAATTCATTTTCTTTCAGTAAATCACCCTCTGCTGCAGCTAAGGCACGTGCCCTACTGTTTAAAAACTGTTCTTACACTGGAGGGGAATTTATGCTTTCTGGGGATGAAGCTATTCTAATCCTCTTGATTACTAGGAGTAACAAAAAAAAAAGACACAACAGCAGAACCAGGTGATTTTAAGCTAAGTAATACAGGGGGGAAGAGAAAAGCAATAAAGGAGAGAAAAGGGGGAAGGCTTCATATTAAGGTGTCTATTGCTGCAGGAGTTTTCTGAAATAAGATTTTTTAAAAAGCCTTGCTACCAGAAAATTTAATGTGAGTTATCGAAGAGTAAGAAAATGTATCCAGGGAACATCTTTCTCTGGCCTGTAGGGAGTTAGTAGACCATGTAGGTCTTGCTTAGTTTTATAATTTTAGTACTGTAGAAGTGCAGGACAGTGAGATTAAATGACAGTTGTAGTTACATTCTTGCTGTGTAATCTCTTGTCATATATACATGGAGGACCTACAGCATTTACAAACGGAGCACGGGAAACACGCAGCCTTCATCAATGCTTACACAACAACTTATCAGAAGAGGGCATTCTGAGGTGCATGCCAATGGGCTTTCCTTGCATTCCTTGCTTAAGCATGAAGCATGTTGCTGATGGTAGAAGGGGCTTTTTTCTTTTGTATCAAATTTGCCTGTGTTGGAATTTTCTCTTTTACTGGAAAGATACCTTTCACTTACAGGCTCAGTAGAGTCTTCACTCCCATTGGAGAAAGAAGAACAAATAAGACTTCAAGCAAGAAGACGGCTAGAAGAACAGCTCAAACAATACAGAGTGAAGAGACATCAAGAAAGAGTGAGTACCACATGGCAGATCTAGATTCAGTGTTGAGAAGGTTGAAAACGTTATCATTTCTGTGCTCTAAATTACTGTTTTCTCTGCTTTAAACATTCAGTAGTTTTCTCAAATGTGAGAAAACATTTTTTTTTCCTTCCAGACATACAACATTTGATTCTCACCTCATCAGTAATATTCCACTTTGTGTTACTTAAAAGCGCACAAAACGGTACATTTATGGAGGGTGAGGGGGGTGAACCAAGCCTAAAACTTAAGTAACCCAGATGTTCAATTTTCCTGTAATTTTCAGTTAGCTTTTGGAGCCTTCCTTGATCATTTTTGACATGCATATACCAAGCCTTGCTTGATTGCTGGTGTAATTTACCTTGTTTATGAAATGATGCATGTATTTAGTAATGTAGGAGTTTACTAAATAAATGGTAATGTAGAGCTTTACATGTTTTGCTGTAGAACTTAAGTATTTGATGCTAGTTCAAAGGTAATATTCTGGAATTTATCGTTGACTCTCTGCTTCTTCTAGTCGAATCAGTCTACATCCAAACACCGGCCCTCCAGCACCCTAGATCCCGAGCTGATGTTAAATCCAGAAATCTTGCCAAGAGCTAGCACTGTAGCAATGACAAAAGAATACTCCTTTTTGCGGACCAGTGTCCCCAGGGGGCCAAAACTGGGTAGCCTGGGACTTCCAGCATCCTCGAAAGAGAGAAGAAGTTCAAAATCTAAGGCCAGTAAGATCCGGTCCTTGGCTGACTACAGAACTGAAGATACAGGCTCTAGAAATGCTACTGGGAATTTTGTGGCTACTGATTTATCTGGTGGGACTCTGAAGCAAAGCAGAAGTGGTCCAACATCAGTTGTTTCTGAGATTAGTCTACCCTCTGACACAGGTGATCGAATAGAGAATTCCTCCTTGGCAGAAGATAGCATTTCAGAGATTGATGGGAGTGAAGTGGGAATGAGGTTGGATGGAAATGAGAGTGACAGCTCTACCTACAGCAGTGTGTCAGGAAAAGGGCTGTATAATAGTTTACAGAATGCAGAAAGCAAACAGGGCATTCCATATACAGTAAATGGTCAGAAGATACATCCTGATGCAATGGGGCAATTTCCTTCCATCAGTGAGGTGCTACAGGCTGCAGCAGTGGAGCATCAAGCCCAAGAGCAAGAAATTAATGGGGAAGTATGGAGTAGGAGAGACAGTGTTTCTAGCAGGTAAGAAAGATCACCGTACAGCGAGGTGATTATTAGGCATTATACTCTCTTTAGGCAGCCTATTACTCTTCTGCTAACTTCAGATCCAGTTTTAACTTACACTCATTGTGATAAAATCTGTTCTTAACTTACAGATTCTAAAAGAAACTGTAAGATCACTTCACTTTAAGTACCCATTTCCTAAGTATATCTTTAGAGAAAGATATTTTTGCCACTGACTGTGTTTTAAATGCACTGCTAGCAGTTGCTTCTGTCTGTATTTACCTGTGAAGCGGGCATTCATTCACTGTATCCCTGATGTGGCATTGCTGTTTAAAGTCTGCATGTGTAGACTTAACTGACTCAGTGATATTTATTATCATCCTGTTCCTGATCTACACACGTATCTTTCAGACCTCAAATAGTTATGAAATGCCAAGAGTCTTGTCCTAGATACTCCTATCTTCTTCAGCCTTTAGAATGAGATTTACTTAGTCTTACAAGCTTTTGTGTAGATGGTAGGTGTTATACTGGGATTCAGCAAGCAAGTGGACAACTGCTGAAGCCCTTATCAGTTGTCTGTAGCTGCATGTTTTATACATGCTAATTTTGAAATTACTGGTTTTTTTTCTTCATAATGCCCTGAGATGTTAAGGTAAAACCAGTTGTTGACAATTATTCCATCTTAGACTTAATTCTTACAGTAATGAGAGATCTTTTTCTCTAGATTCCTTGGCTGTACGTCAGGGAAGGACCATAAAAAATCCGTTATACCAAATACCTGTTCTTCAGTCTTTTGCAGCAGCTGTTGGCATTTCTCAGGCATTTTCACATTAAAGCAGGCAATTGCAGACAATAGTTGTGGAGGGTTTGTGCCCCCATTATGTCCATTTGTCTGCTTATAATGGGATGTGCGGTTAGAAAATGTAATGAAGACAACCATTGCACTTCTGTAAAATAACAAATACGTGGGTGCCACACCAGATTCTAGTTGCTGCAAATGTAGGAAACTAAGGTATAAAACCTTAGCATGAATATAACTTCTTTATCTCTTTGGATGGTAATGAAGGTGGTTTTGCTGTATTCTGGATCCATCACAGAGCCAGAAAAATGTCCTAAATTGTAGGTCACATGTGGAGTCTAGGTACCTTTTGATTTCGGCTTCATTTCAAGCAGATGAGTTTTGTATTCTAACCCTTTAACTGTGTGTGTGCTGTCTCTATCTCCAGTGTTTCTATGGAAAGCTCTGTCGCAGGAACTCATGACGAAATGTTGCAGGTTCTGAAGGAGAAGATGAGACTTGAAGGGCAACTAGAAGCACTCTCACTAGAAGCTAATCAGGTAGAAAATGAATTTGAATGTATTTAGCAAATTATATCAATATGTTAATTTTCAAGAACCTCATACTCATTACTTGTGGGAATTGTGTTTTGTGAAAACATTGTTGAATAAGGTACTTTACAAGGATGCTGTGGTGGGCTGACCCTGGCCGGACACTGGGTGCCCACTAAGGCTGCTCTATTGCTGTCCTCCTCAGCTGGGAGAGGAAAAATATGATGAAAGGCTCATGGGTTGAGATAAGGATCACTGAGCAATTACTGTCACAGGCAAAACACACTTGACTTGGGGAAACTAACTGAATTTGTTACCAATCAAACCAGAGTAGGATAATGAGAAATAAACACAGATCTTAAAACCACGTTCCCTCCACCCTTCTTCTCAAGCCCAACTTCAGTCCCGATTTCCCTACTTCCTTGCTCCCCACAGCAGCGCGGAGGCATGGTCAGTTCATCACATTGTTTCTGCCACACCTTCCTCCTCAGCAGGGAGGACTCCTCACACTCTTCCCCTGCTCCAGCGTGGACCTCCATGTGCTGCCAGGGCCCAGCCTGCCTCACCATGGTCTGCGCCACTGGCTGCAGGGGAATCTCTGCTCCAGAGCCTGGAGCACCTCCTCCTCCTCCTTCACTGACCTTGGTGTCTGCAGAGCTGTTGCTCTCACATATTCTCACTCTTTCTTTCCACTGTTGTTCTTCTGCAGTTGTTTTTTGTTTTTTTTTCTTAACCTATCTCAGGGGCACTACCACTGTTGCTCATGGGCTCAGCCTTGGCCAGCAGCAGGTCCATCTTGGAGCTGGCTAGCATTGGCTCCATCAGACATGGGGGAAGCTTCTAACAGCTTCTCACAGAAGCTTTGTGGTTTTTTTGTTCAAAGTCATATCAGGAGATGCTAAATCTGGAATAATGGTGGCAGTATCTATAAAGCTGTATTTTTCTCTTTGTATTGGTTGATGTAATATCACATATAGTAAAAAGTATTCTTCCTTACCGTGCAGAAATGTGTCTTACTAAAAGTTCTGACATGGTTACTGACATATAATGGTGTATGTCTTGTCTGTGCTTTCCTCTGTATTTTCTTTGACTTTTTGAAATACCTGGTAGGTGAGATGTAAAAAAGAATTTTTTATAAGCGAGTGGTCTTTGCCTTAGCAAAGGTATTTTGTAGGGCATCTTCTTTAGTCAGGCACTATTGTATTTTCTCTCAAGACTTCTGTATTTTGATTTTTCTGGACACGTTCAGGCTCTCAAAGAGAAGACTGAGCTACAAGCCCAACTTGCAGCTCTGAACATGAAGCTTCAAGCGCAGATGGAGCACAGCCAAAATAGCCAGCAGAAGCAGGAATCTCTGAGTTCAGAAGTGGCCACATTAAAGCAGTCTTGCTGGGATCTGGAACGTGCAATGGCTGACCTGCAAAATGCCTTGGAAGCAAAGAATGCTAGTTTGGCTTCTTCAAATAATGATTTGCAGTTAGCAGAGGAGCAGTACCAAAGACTCCTGCTGCAAGTTGAAGATATGCACAAGAACGTTCTCACCAGAGACAGCACAGGTGGGATGGTGTAAATGTCAATCTTCAAAAGTTGTTACTCCATAAATAATTTTATTTCAACATAATTCTGAAGTCCAGGAAGAAGGAACTTTAATCTGTTTCATTGATGTCATACTAATATAATGGTTTGAATTTTAAGATGCGTTTTGGTTTTGTGTCACAGAAGTGCCACAATTTGCAAGCTGCCACTGCCAGCTTGGAGAAGAAGTTATAAATAGTTAGTCTAGTAACTGTTTGACAACGGGCTAACGGTTTTTAGAAAATTGTACAAATACTGGTTTGTAATGATGGCTCTACATGTCAGGATACCTGCTGCTTCCTGATTTTTTATGAGTTCATATTTTCTGCCTCTGAGGAACTATGAATGCTTATAGAAGTGATTTCATTTATTTTAATTTCACTCTGTTAATGACCTGATACTTTGGATTCTAGCACTTCCCCCCACTTTTGTAGGAAAAACCAATCCTTCTGTAATTAGGCATATATCTTTTTGTTCAAAAAGGAAGGAGAAACATTAAAAAGAAAAAGCTATGAATACAGCAATAACCCTTGAAATCGTGTGTGTAAAAATAGAGCAATGGAGTTTGCAAGTCCAAGTTCCTTATTTTTATTTTTCCAGTTCATGATCTACGGCAGCAGATGGCTTCTTTACAGAACCAGCTTCAGAAGGTGCAGTTGGAACGGACCACACTGACCAATAAGCTAAAGGCATCTGAAACAGAAATCACATCGCTCCAAAACGTGCGACAGTGGTACCAGCAGCAGCTTGTGCTAGCACAGGAGGCTCGTGTCAGGCTGCAGAGTGAGATGGCCAATATACAGGTATTGTGATTTACTTGCAAAGGGGAGGACTGGGGATCTTTTATGTTAGTTTTATCCAGAGGACATTATTTATGAACTCAGACAAGGGAGCCAGTCTCACTTGTGTATTCTTCAGGTGGCAAGCAGGGAGAGATGGTCTTTTGTTTTCATCATGAGTTGTAGTTCACATTAATGCTGAGGCATAAATTTAATGAAAGTACTTGCCTTCTGTGAATGAAGCTCTGCAGTGCCATGAAAGCAGCAGCTGAAAGTAAAGCACGGATAGATTCAGTGTGACTTTTTTTCCCAAAACTTTTTTTTTTTTATGCTAAATTTTGACTGTTGATATTAATCTGTGATTTTATTTTTTTTTTTTCATTCCTTTAAGGCTGGGCAAATGACCCAAGCAGGTATGTTGGAACATCTCAAACTAGAGAATGTGGCACTGTCTCAGCAACTGACTGAAACCCAGCACAGGTCCATTAAAGAAAAGGAACGTATTGCAGCACAGCTGCAAAATATTGAGGTACGGTTGTAGGTGGTCTTCATGATTATATTCTGCCTGGGGTGTGTATTTAGGGTTTTCAAACTCAAGGCTATTCTAGCAAAGTAGCATAGAATTCTTACAAATTGATTCAAATATTGCATTATACAAACAATAAACATTTTGGAGCAAATAAATTTCATGACATTCCAAACAGTAAGGAGCAAGGCCATACATTTCCCATTTCAGTGTGGTACTTGCATTTTCAGCTCTAGTATTTCTTTTTAATTGAATTTTAAAGTTGGGTGTAAATGTTCTCTTTGTCCATTCATGAACTTTTTAGAGAGAAAACTTAACTGGAAGTTAAGCAGCACTTCACTGACTTGGTTTAAGTGGGTGAAATTGCTCAATACTCAGGTTTGTCCTTCCTGCCCTCCAGTACGAAAAGATGGGTAAATTCTGAAGTGCAGTACACTTACTTTCAAAGCACTTAGAACCTTAAATGCCACTGAATTGCAGTGACATTCCTGTTTCAGAGTCTCAAAAGGCAGTAAAGCAGCAGTTTAGTGAAAGCACCCTATTTCCAGGTGCAGCTGCGTAAATGACAGGAATTGCAATTTCACAGAGTAGATACAGCAATCAAGGAATCTCTTTTGGTTCAGAATTTTTCCAAACAGCTTATTTTTAATAAAGATTCTTTTTCTTTACATCTTGTTTCATCTATTGAGAAAGGACATGGTGTTATTTAAGAGGAATTCAGATTGTCACAAGCATACAAGGCATTCACTGTTATTCTAAGGTGTCTTAAGTATATGAATGGGTGACTTCAGTAAAGACATACAGGTGTGTAAGGCAGACATCAGTGTGTCTTTTTTTTCTTGAAATGTTCTTGATAATTTACCTTTTTCCTTTCCTCTTTTTTTTTTTTTTCCCCCCTGCCACTCTCTCTCCATTGACATTTTAGAAGTTGATTCCTTGCTTTTTCTGTGCAGGCTGACATGTTAGATCAAGAAGCTGCCTTCATGCAGATTCAGGAGGCTAAAACCATGGTGGAAGAGGACTTGCAGAGGAAACTAGAGGAGTTTGAGGATGAAAAAGAACAGCTTCAGAAAATGGCTGATTCTGCAGCAACACTGGAGCAAGAATTGGAACAGGTAGACGGTTGTTAAGCAACTTCCCAAAGGTATCAAGGGAATTGCTTGTTTGGCTGAGAAGGCAATAGTGAATAGATAGCTTTTTTTTTTTTTTTTTTTTTTTTTTTTTTTTTTTTTTTTTTTTTTTTTTTTTTTTTTTTTTTTTTATAACCTGAAAGATTGCTGCAAAAATGAAGTCCATATCAAAGTCACTCTGTCCCAAGTGAAAAGGCTCTCCCTTTTTTTCCCACCCATCTCAGTAACAGTGCTTTTTTTTACATTTCAAAACTGTTGTCTTGTAGATGCTGGGGTTCTTTAGTGAATTCAGTATGTGATTATTCTAAGTATAGATAAAAAGCATAGATCCACGTTTAAAGTTGTCAGGCAGTCAGGATATCATTTTATATACTTACAGTGTAATAAATCTGCACTTTGCTACAGAGTCCTGCTTTAATCTTGTAACATAAAAAGGCAGCGTGTCAAGGGCTGGAATGAGATAAAGTATGTGATAGCTCAGTATTCCATGTAATTATGGCATTATCGTAATAACACTAATTTTACTTGATATGTCTACTATGGACACATTTCAAATAAAATTTAGAGTACTGTGAATCTTACTTTAGAATATTTTAGGTTTGTCATTCTGGTCATTGCTTAGCCTCTAAGATTAGAGATGCTGCAGAAGTCAATAAATGTAGTTAACAGAGCAAGTAGAAGAAGTGGCCTAGGAAAGTTCTGCTGTTTTTTCCCCTAAATAAAGGTAAAATATTAGTTAATATATTCTATTTTGATTAGAGTGCATTTGCAAAGATAGCTTTCTGTTTGTTTGAATTTAATCTTAAAATACTACTCCTTAGGTCAAGTTGACTTTGCATCAGCGAGATCTGCAGCTTGAATCTTTACAGCAAGAACACCTAGACCTAATGAAGCAATTCACTCTGACCCAAGAGACTTTGCACACCAAGGAGCAGTCCCTGGATGACCTGCAAACACAGTATGATGAACTGAAGGCCAGATTAGAAGAGTTCCAAAGTGATGCTACATCTAAAGATGACATGATCCAGTATTTGCAGAATGAGAAGATTGTCTTGGAAGTAGCTCTGCAGGCAGCAAAAGCAAGCAAAGAGCAACTTGACGAAGGAGTGGCTCGCCTTGGAGAAGATACAGAAGTAGCATCTCAAGTCTTGGAACAACTGAGGCAAGAAATGGCCATCAAGTCAAGCCAGGTAATGAATCCCTGAACTAGATCATTTAAAGTAGCCATTGCAGGGAAGTATTGCCACAGGCACATGATAGACCCAATTACATGAGAGGAGATTGGTGTACACGAGTTTGTATACATGTGTAGTTGCAAGATTCAGCTAGAAGGGAGTATTTTGATTAGTTCTGTCACTTTTCCCTGTTGGCAGAAATCTGATGTTAACTTTACATCCTGTTATGTCACTGGTGAGCTTACAGTTAATATCTCTGAGTATCTCTAAGTGTGTACACACTTGTGTGGTATGGAGGCTGAGATTAATTGATCTTGTTCTGTCCATTTCCAAGAGCCACCATCCTTCTATAATCTGCCAGTTTAAAAAAGCAATACTTTTTGAGATCACAGGTTTGAAAGTAATTTTTTAGTGTGTTCTTTTTCTGTGGCACTGTGGGCCAAATATCTTTCTTATGCAGTAATTTGGTCATGTTTAATTGTGCCTTTTCTCTTGAAACCATATACCAGGGTTTGCTTTTGCATGTTGTATACAAAGATTTTTTTTTCTAGTCACTGAACTCTTTCACAAGATCAAGCCTAATGCATGTCCTTATTCTTTTTGTGGCTGCTTTAAATAAATCATGGTGACTCTTCCTTTCACACCATGGTTTTATAGGTGTGTATGCTCTTATCTTTTAGAGCATCAAAGCTCCATAGGAAGAGCTTTCTTATTGGTAATGATGAGTTCCTGGGAATCTTTAGAGATTCTTTTGAAGATAATAATGGGACTTGATAGTAGCACCAATAGAAGTACTGAAGAAATATGGAAGTATATTTAACATAAAGATTAGGTTTTTTTCTTTCAAAGAACAAGCTGGTGTCTTCATTTGATCCTGAATAGATGCCATCCAGTTGCAGCTTATGTACACTGTTGCATACTGAAACTTTAATGGCAGGATAAGGGAACTTACGTGTTCCTGAGAGTTGTCAAGGCTCACTGTGTGGTAACCTGTGTGACTGTATTTCTATGTAGAATGTTATCTAACAGTGCCACTGAGATGCCTAACCAGAAATGGGATTCCTCGTTAGATTAAGTAATTGGTATAAGTATAGCAAAAGATACTGTCACTGAAGAAATAATGTAGAATATGATACTTGGAATATAAACCAACGTGCTTGCTATTTTTTTTCCTTCTGGCAGATAGAAAATCTACAACAAGAAAATGCCAGCCTTAAAAAACAGGTTCAAAAAGTGAAGGAGCAGTTCCTGCAGCAGAAGGTAAGGAAAAGCAAACTTTTTCAAAGAAATAAACCCAAGGAATATACTTTTTTTTTGTCTTAATCCAGGGCAGGCATGAGGGGTTTGTCAGGACACTTAAATCAATCTTCTGTATCAAATAACTGTGACATAATTATACAGTTTCTATATTTTGTACAGGTTAATTTTTATCTGTAAGTAATGTAAAAGCAGATCCAGCAATGAATTCATGCTTTTGTTGGACTCCACGAGTTTGCCAAATGATCCACCACATAAAATCTCTCTCTGGTTTCTTGATGAGATTTGCTTTTCAAAAAGCATCCGTGATAATCTTCAAGTGTCACTATTTTCCTGCAGCTTTGAAAAACAATAGTTGCTTTAGTAATTAGATGGAAAATAAGTGCTTTATTGCAAATTTTACGCTGAATTTACACAGTTTTGAAGCAGTAATTTGAAACTGGTGTGTCATTAGTGTTGCATATATATATATGTGTCTTTTCTGTAGGCTGGCACCATTAATTTACTGCTTGATTGCTTATTTACCTAGTGCCAAAGGCTGTTTTAGCTTGTTGGGTTTAAGTTTGGGAAGGCTGTTTAATCTGTCACAGTTAAGCTCACTTCTCATGGCAAAAGTTACTACCTGTGCACATGGAATAGTTAATATTTTTACAATTAGTTTAGTTTAAGAAAAAAGCCTGTCATTAGTGCAGTTCCATAAAGAATGTGAAGAAGAATATCCCACATTGCTATAAACACTCAGAGGTTTGGGGTTTTTTTAATGAACTGCTGATATATAGTGGTATTTGATATCTGAGATTACATTAGTCTTTGAACCAGAATAAATATGTTACAGATGATGATGATGATTTGTATTCTTTGACATACACCCCACACCCTCTCCAAACTAAAAGAATATCAGTTAAATATCTTATAGTAAATTACTCTTAAATTTGTAAAGCTGTAACAGAGGTGACACTGTCCTCCTGAATCTTGTGTCCAAGGTAATGGTGGAAGCTTATCGAAGAGATGCAAGTTCTAAGGACCAGCTCATTAGCGAACTGAAAGCTACAAAGAAGCGACTGGACTCAGAAGTGAAAGAGTTAAAACGAGAGCTACTGAAAATTCAAGTTGAAAAACAGTCACTTGAATCTGAACATTCAAAACTACAGAAGGAAGTATCTCAGGTTCACCAGCAGATGGTGGAAATAGAAAATCAGCTTCAGTCAGTGCAGAAAGAACGAGATGATATGGAAACACGCCTACAGGTATGGAAGGTGTTAAGCTTTGGATTTTGAGAGTGTTATATCCAGGAATATAACACACATACGTTGATATTTCTGTTAACTTTGGAAATAAACAGAGTGACCATCTGCAAGTTAAGATTCTTGGCTACATATTTAATACTGTCTACACATGTGAGCATATACCTACCAAAATTCTGTAAATACATGACTGTTTATTAACATCCATGTAAGTAAGTGTGGAGAAGCGTGCCACAGGCATGGCAGAGGTGTGATGTGGAAGCAGTTTCCTTGGTCCCAAAGTGAACTCCATTTGAGAAAAAAGACCAAACTAGTACTCTGTTCATACATGTTACCATGGTGGCCACAGAGGGAAGAATTAAAGAAGAAATAAAAGGGAAACGAAAAGGAGATGGAGAACCTTGAAAAAGTTTTTTATATTTAGATATAGATAAATATATATTTATATTATAATTCTGAAATTTTATGCTTACTCTTTTCATCAGCATACAGCAAATGCGCTTTTGTTCGTAATCTGATGGGTGCTTTTTTCCTTCCTATCAAGTCTTTGCAGTTTGATAAGGAACAAATGGCATCTCTTGGTGAGGAAAATCAGGCATTAAAACAACAAGTAGAACAAATGCAAGAAGAAGCAAAAAAGTAAGTGTTCATTTAGCACAGACAAAAGAACTACATTTGTTTTTCACAGTCACCTTTTTAGCATTTGCTCTTTTCCTATGCCCTAGTTTTCCTTTGGGAAATTTAAATAGTCATAGAATCATATCCATGGCAAAGTGTTGGTTGCATGCTACACAGGAGTTGCAGCTGCTCCTCTGATTTACTTACGCTTTTAACCAGCAGTCTCTGCCATACAACATACATACTGGAGCTAATCCTAATTAACATTGACTGAATTTTAGCCTTGGCTGGCTAGAATGTTGGCATTAATGAGAACCATTGGTTGGGTTGTTTTTTTTTTCCCACTGGTGATCATATGGTTTTAGGGTATCTGATTCTTACTCTAAATTCTGTGTTATTTTTAGAGAGAATCGTACATATTCCTTCATATTGAAGTTTTAATAATTCGGACAAAAACCTCTTAATTACCATAATTCCCATAAAAAAATTTTTTAGAACATTATAGAGTCTTCAAGGTATCGTCTTGCAGAGGGTCAGATTCTACCTTATCAACCCAATGGCTTTCTGTAATGAGGTGGGCAGCTCTGGGACAAGGGGAGAGAGGTGGATGTTTTTTTTTTTGTTAGGCCATATGAAGAATTAATCCTTTAGTACTGTTTTCAGGCAGGTTTTAGTTTTACCTGATGTTCTATTTTTCCTTTGACTGTAGGGCCATTACTGAGCAGAAACAGAAGATGAAGCGTCTAGGGTCAGATCTGACAAGTGCTCAGAAAGAGATGAAAGCAAAACATAAAGCCTATGAGAATGCAGTTGGCATTCTTAGTCGTCGGCTGCAGGAATCTCTGGCTGCAAAGGAATCTGCTGAAGCAGAGTTGAGCAAACTAAAAACGCAAATCGCTGATGGTGGAAACAATCAGATTGCTCAAGTATGGATATGTCTTTTCACATTGTTTAGTACAAGGACAGAACTATCTTGGTATTAAATTGAAGTCTTGAAATACTATTTAACACTGAAGTGATTGGAAGTGTTTGGAATATAAAGCTAGATAAGACTATGGTATCAGTGTTATGAACACTTAGAGTTTCCTTAACTGCCTTTGAGAGATGTGGTTTGGTGGGGTTTTGTTTCCTTAATTTTACTTGTATCTTTCAGGTTACCAATTGTAATCCAAGCTCAAGAGGATGATCAGCCTTAGTGCTAAATTTCTGGATTAATTTTTATTGTCAGGTTGTTCTTTGGGATGTTTTTTTATTGGTTTGGGTTTGGTTTTTGTTCTGGAGTTTTGTTGGTTTGGGTTTTGGTTTTGTTTTGTTTTTATTAAAGGCTCAGCATCTGAAGATTTTCCAAAATTCTAACTCTTATTGCTTTTTTTTCCTCATTGACAGTTAAAAGTTGTTGAGGGTAATTCATATGTTATGCCTGTGATTAGAAAATTAATTTACTGGGGGAAGCTTCAGTTCCTTGAACCAATGGAGCAAGATATCAAGTGCACTAACAGTAGCAGCTGGATGCAAGGGTGGCAAGCTATGAGCAAGACCTTTACATTAAGCGCTAGCACCTCACTTAGCCTTTGCTAGAGAAGTAGGCTTTTTAAGTAAAACAAAGTTATTTCTGTAGATGGGTAATACTTTCATTAATCACACATTTGTTTTTAGGAAAGGATTCAAGCTCTGGAGACAGAATTGCAAGCTGTTAGCAGCAGTAAGTTGATGCTGGAAAAAGAGCTGCAAGAAGTGATTTCACTTACCAGCCAGGAGCTTGAAGAATACAGAGAGAAAGTGCTGGAACTTGAGGATGAGGTGATGGCTTGAATTTGCATGGTAGATGGGAAGGTGACAGTAAAAAGTGACTGAGAGGCAGGGAGGAATTTTAGTACCATAATTTTATTCCAACAGTGCAGAAAATCAGAAGCTTACATGGGAAACTTTGTGTCAGTGACATTTGCTAATTTTGTTGCCCTGTGCTGGTTCTTCGTGGTTTCATGAGTCATTGTCGTGTAAGGGAAAAGAAGAAGAGAGGAAAAGTAGTTCCTGTGTTAGATACCAGCTGTATCTGGTCATGAGATGGTGAGGATGTGTGAATCACTATCTTTTGAAACTATCTGGAGTCATGGATGCTCAATGATTTTAATGGCAGGGTGGTGGTGTTTAGTTGCACAAAAAAATTGTATGCGTTAATGACTCATGATCTACACCTGAACAGTACTTTTGGATTCTGCTTTCTAGCAAGTATTTTAGTCTTTCAAAAGGAAAAAATAAAATACCTAACTGTACTAACTTCAAAGTGTTCATTTAAAAAAGAAAAAAAGAAATGTATGTTTGATTTAGTTGTTGGTTTTCTTTCTTCTTTTTTTTTTTTTCCTTTGGCTATAGCTTCAGGAATCTAGAGGCTTCAGGAAGAAGATAAAACGCTTAGAAGAAATTAATAAGAAGTTGGCCCTTGAATTGGAGCATGAACGTGGAAAACTTACAGGTCTTAGTCAGTCCAACGCTGCTTTGCGGGAGCACAATAATATCCTTGAAACAGCACTAGCAAAAAGAGAGGCAGACTTGGTACAACTGAATCTACAGGTATTTGACCTTTTGATACAAAAATCTTCAGAGAGGAATTAGCTCATATTTCCGATAACAGGATGTAGACATCTTCACTCATTGGATACAAAGATTGTGCATTTTCTCCAGATCTGGGTCTCCCATGTGTTGTGTAACAGCAGTAATACAGGGGACTAAAGAAATCAAAAATGAATATTTGCACTAAACAGAGCTGTTTCTTTTGGGGGGCGAGGGGAAATCACACTGAAATATTTGCAATAGTGAAAGTGTGGCTCACTTAAGTTAGTTGGAACATAAAAACTGTTACTTACAGATTCATTGAGATGAATGATATTTATGCCAATAGTACTCTATTTGTGGTGTATAAGCAAATGGAAATAGAGGCAATGAGCTACCATTTAACCATAGCTACTTTTAAAGTTGAAGGGTACCATAAGGCAAGAGTTATCAGCAAACAGCAGAGAGTTTTGGAGTCCCTGCATTGGTCTGTGTTTCTATTTCCTCTGCTGGCATTTCTGGTCTTCCAGTGAGCCCACACAAAATATGTGTGTGTTTTTGTGATGTGATACAGGTTCAGGCTGTCTTAAAGCGGAAAGAGGAAGAGGATCAGCAAATGCAACAACTTATTCAAGCTTTGCAGGCTTCCTTAGAGAAAGAAAAGTTAAAAGTTAAAGACCTTAAGAAGCAGGTAATGTCTTTTATTTTAAATGTATTTTAAATGTGGTTTAAATGTAAAGTATTTGAAAAGTAGCTTGACATGCTTTAGTACATGCTGCTTTCTGCAGGGTCTCCCTCATGATGGCCAGTGGCTGATGTCTTTTCTATTATGCCCTGTGTTAAGCATACTCACTATCAGGAAAGTTCCATTATGACTTGTAATGCATGGGATGCATCCTGCAGTGATGATACTTCATCCAAAAATGCATAATGAAGAAGCAGTCTGGCAAACATGCTTCTTCCATTACATAGTTATTAACTGCCATTAGCATTAGTAAAGATAACACTAGTAATAAGGTTTTTAGGCAAAAAGAGAAGTATTAACAGCTGTACAGCTTCCTCCTTGATTAGTTTTGTACCCTTTAGTCTAGCTTCCTTTACCATTCCCCTACAGTGATAAACCAAAGCAAAACTATATCTCTTCTTTGTGGCAGGAAGCAGCAGCCAAAGCAGATGCAGCACGCCAAAGCAGAGGCAGCACATACCCGCCGTCACTACAGAGCTGCTGCGCTCGAGCTCAGTGAAATCAAGAAAGAGCTACATGCCAAAGAACTGCTTGTCCAAGCCCTTCAGGCTGAAGTGGACAAACTGCAGTAAGTAAATGTCTAAGTTCTTAGGGAATAATAAATAAATTCTCTGAAAAGGCCATACGTTAGTGAATTTTTGGTTTTGCCACTCTGAAGTGGATTATGCTGAAACGTACCAAAGCTGAGCCTGACCATAAGCTGCATGTTTGGACTTCAGGCGAATACTTGCAGTTTTGTCTCTTCCTAATTCAGTTAGACCTGAAGCATGCTGTATTTAAGCTTCACCATCTGCTTTTTTTACAGTTTCAACACAGATCTCTATTTCACATTACTACTAAGGATTAAC